CTACTACTAGAAAGTCATGATAAGCTTAAAGAACACTTAATCGAGCTTCACCTTCTGAAACATATAGGCGTCTTTCAAAAAATAATAGATTATTCTTGAATTCAAAATTGGAAGTATCATGGGACTTAGAGGAAGTATCTTTGATATCTTGGATAAGAGGATTAATAGACATGCTTGATTGAATTTGCTTCATAAATGTTGAATCAATAGTCAATGTTGATTTTATAGCTCAAAGATGAAAATACTCAGGCTTCAAAAGAATTGATCTTTGTTGATCAAAAGATGCATTTCCTTCTTTTGGTGTAAGATAAGAACGTCTAGAAAGAGCGTCTGATAGACCTTGTTGTCTTTCGAGTCGATAAGTGATCTTGAAATTAAATCTAGGTAAAGACATGCTCCAATGGACTTGACGATGATTTAAGATACATGTTGACATGAAGTACTCAAGGTTCTTATGGTTTGTATACACGATTACAGGACTTGAGGTGCCTTCTAGATAATCACACCATTCTTGAAATGAATCCACTATTGTAAGGAGTTCTTTGTTATAGATCTCATAATTAATCTTGGCTGCTAAAAATTTCTTCACATAAAAAGCTATTGAGTGGAGTTTTTCATCTGTTCCCATTTGTGACAATACGACACCTATAGCAAAATCTGACATGTCTATTTCCATAAAAAATGTTGTAGAGAAGTCAATGTAATATAAGATTTGTGTAGAAATAAATTCCTTCTTTAAACCATCAAATAATACTTTTGTTTCTTTATTCCACTTAAGTTTGTCTTTACAAGTCAAACGTATAAGTGGAACTGCAACTTGAGAAAAATTCTTAATTAAGATTTGATAGTAATTAGCAAAGCCCAAAAAGCATTGCACATCTCATATTGTTCTTGGAATCTTCTAATCTATGATAGTTTGGACCTTCTTCGGATCCATCATAAGGCCTTCTTTAGAAGTAATGTACCGTAAAAAGTCAACTTGAGTAGTGTGGAATATACACTTTTCCAACTTGGCATATAATCTTGTATCTCTATATTTTTATAACACGTGACAAATATGAAGCTCATATTCTTTTGTATTCTTAGAGTAGATTAGAATGTTGTCTAAATAGCAAACAACAAAATCATCTAAAAACTCACAAAAAATATCATTTATAAGATGTTGAAAAGTGGCTAGTGCATTCGTGAGTCCAAAAGGCATGACATTATATTCAAAGTGTCTATACCTACTTCAAAAAGCAGTCTTTCATTTATCTCTTTCTTTGATACAAACTACATTGTATGCTCCTCATAGATTTATTTTGGTATAAATCTTTGCTTGATTGAGTTGGTCAAGAAGTATTGAAATCAAAGGCAAAGGATACCTAATTTTAATGGTAATCTTGTTGAGTCCTTGATAATCTATACATTTCTAAAGATCCATCTTTCTTCTTTATAAATAAGATAAGAGCCCCAATTGGAGATTTAGAATGGTGTATGAAGTTCTTTGCCAAATTTTCATCAATGTACTCCTTTAATGCGGCCAACTCATTCTGCGATAAGCTATAGATTGGTCCAAATAGTAGTTGAGCTCTTTCTTGCAGATCAATTGAACAATCATAAGGTTGAAACTTAGAGAGAATATCTACATTCTTCTTTTCAAAAATATCTTGGAATTCTTCATATTGGTTAGGAATACCACTCGACATTGTTTCGCTATTAGAAATGGGTGTACCATATATAGTAAAAGATGATCCTTCTTTTACAACATGCATGAAAGCTTTTGCACCTACTAGTAAAGGTTTAGACATACTAAACTTACGTACTTCTATTTTACTAATGCGATCTTCGATTATACTATTAGGAAAGTTAAGGTTATAAGAAATCCAATCTATTTGAGGGTTATATTTTTCTAGCCATGATAATCCTAAAATAATAAGATTAGAGGGAGATTTTATTACATTAAATATTACTATGCTATTATGATCTTTAATTGCTGTATCTAAAGGAATAGTTTCATGGATAACATTTCCAGAAGACAACAAACAACCATCTATGATTTCTACATGTACGGATTTAGCTTTCTTCACTAAAGGTATTTTTTGTTTTTTGGGAAAATCTTGGTCTATAAAACATGCTGAGGCTCTTGAATCTAATAAGACAAAGACTTTGTGATTATTAGGTCCTAAATATACTTCTATTATAAAATAAGGTTAAGAAATTTGAGGAGAGGATAAGACCTTTACTAGGTGTTGCACATGATTCTAGCCGCACGGTCTCTATTGTAGTTGGAGAAACTCATTTTTTGACACATTATCTTCTTTGGTAATTATCCAATTCATTTTATAATTACATTGCTTCTTTGGAAAATATTAAACAATGTACTTAGCTTTTCTATAATATAAACACAACCCTTCTTGGCAACTTCGAGGTTTAAAATGTATCATATCAATTTGCATTGGTTCTGGCTTTGACAAATATGTTTCAAAAAACTTGGGAGTTGCCACCATTATTTGACTCGTTCCTCTCCAACCAAATCTTTGTTCTTGACATCTTTCAAATAAATGATTATTCCATGCAATGGCTTGAGTAATAAATTTTTTTAAAGATTCTACTTTCGGTATTGTTAATAACAAATCTTTGATGCCATCCTTCAATCCATACCAAAATTGGTTGATAAGTGCTTTGTCGTTCCAGTCCACGTCGCAAGCAAGGTTTTGGAATTTGACAACATATGTAGTGGTTGATCGTGATCTTTGTTGTAAGGATAAAAGTTTGGTCTCTGCTACTTGTTCTTGATCACTTTCTTCGAATGTGGTTGTAAATACTTCCAGGAATGAATTCAAATCATAAAGGAGTCATGAATATTTTTCCATTAAAGGTGTAAACCAAGAGAGAGTACTTCCTAATAACAGTGTGCCTATGAATTCGACTTGGATAAATCCATTAGGATATTGGAAAGGATGCAACCTTAGATAGAACTTGACCTGTTGAAAAAATCCTCAAAATTTTGATCTTGTTCCATCAAACTTCTCAGGCATACTAATCATTGTCCCTATTATACTTATAGAAGCAAAACTCTCTAGATTTGGTTGTGACGTTGATCTACTTGCTTCTTTCAATTGTACAACTTCTTGCCATAGACTTTGAACTTCTTCCATAGGCGTAGGTATAGTACTTCCATGATTTATGTTGAAAATATGTGAGATTTCTACTCTTAGAGTGTTGACAAGCTCATGAAGATTTTCCATAGTTGTAAATCTATTCTCACTTTCATTGAGTGTAGCATCCATAATCTTTCCTTCCATAGACAACTCAAAAAAATTCAAAAGTTAAATTAAAGGAGGATAATCTGTAACTTCTAAAAACAAATCCTATAAAGAGGGATAATCCACCATATTTAAAGAAAAGATCAGTGTTACAAAACAAGATTTTTTTTTTAAAAGTGGGTAGTCCACAACCTTCAAAATACAACAATAGAAGTGGGGTAATCCACTCACTTCTAAAAGAAGACAGAAACAATATGTTAGCACTATTATCAAACTATCAAGGACATGAGTCTCGAAAAAAGAGAATCGTCAATACACTCTTCTATCACTGAAGAGAACTAGAAAATCACTCAAAAGATGATGTAATGTTAACTAGAATGGCTATTGCAAAAACAAGAAGACTAAAAAGTTTTGAAATAAGACTAAGACTAGAAAGGCATTAACAAGAGTGAAGAAGGCTTCATTCTTGCCTCTATATATACTATCTAACTAAGAGCTACTTGGCAATGTTCTATAGGACCTCCAACATGGGTTGACTTTGCTAGCCACATATCTTATCTTGCAAGGCAAGTTATCTATGTATACACCATATAGTTGGCTTGTTCCACAAGCTACTACACGGAGATAACTTGTTCCACAAGCTACCAATACATGGTTAATTTTTTGGCCAAGTTTCTAACCTACAAACACATCTAAAGTCAAAACCGCATCTATGAAGCTTTTAAGAAGATTCTCTAGAATAGTTTATAAAATTATTTTATATTTATCTACTTCTATTTAATCATATAAGTAACTATTGAAATAAATGTATGTGTCTATGACATCTTGAGGCCTTTGAGTGCAATTTCAAAACTAGGATGCCACTTAGGTTTGATTAAGACTCTGAGTCTCAAATGATAGAATCAAGTTCAATTTTCTTAAGTTGCTCCATAAGAGATTGTGCAACAACTTTGAGCCTTTGATTGAGGCAAGCTGATTTTTTTAAAAAAAACTTGCTAGTGTTAAAATCTTTCAACTTATTTATTTGGGACTAGAGAAGGGGGTTGGAAATAGAAATAAAGAGGGGGGTGTAATGATGGTTTTGTTAGGTAGGTTGTTTTGGTAAAAGCCAAAGTCAATTTAACATTTATATATATATATATATATATATAGATATATCAAAGTATTCTTTTAGTTACATAATGGTTTTTTACAAATACTTCCATCTTATTAATTATTAATATAATTTATTAGTAAAAATAATCTATGAAAGATTAAATTAGATTGTAATATAATAATATAAATATTATCTTTGTCTATTTATTAATTATTTAAAAACAAATATATATCATATACTTAAAAATATAAAAAGAAATAAATATATTATAATTTAGTAATAATTTAAAAATTTTGAGACTAAAAAATTAATGATATTTATTTATAAATATTTTTAATTGATAAAAAAAATTAAAGTGCATAATGGTAAAGTCAAATATGATCATTAAATAATTTATCATCAAGATTATAAAATTACAATAACTCATAGAATTCTTTTTAAAAAAAACATCAAGTTGTATTTATTAAAAGTTAAAGAAAAATTTGTCTTTTACTTACATAATTTTAGAATCTTTTGTGTTCTGCATTTCAGAACTTTTATAATTGATATAGTATCATACTTAGTGGTGAATCCTAAGTTGTTTTGATAATATTTTTGTTAACAACAGTTCTTACAGATCACTGTTACTACAATCAGACATAAATCAATCTAAAACATCAGAAAAATTTGTTTGTACACTGAAAGGACAAGTTAAAACACACCATAGTTGTCAAAAACATCAGTGTTATACAACAGCTTTGTTTGACTTTTGAGTTTTGTCCATCGATGCTCATGATATATTGCTATTTTTTCATATGATTATTGGGGGCCAAGAGCCTTGAAACGTAGTTTTCTCCACTCAATCCGGATCGTGTAGAACCGATCTGGGTCGTCTTTAGTCGAAGATTGAACGAACGGCGCAGATCGATTGAAGGGGTTGTCTAGAATAGATCGATAGGAATGTCTAGAGTCTAATCGATCAGCGGCACTGGTGAAGCGATTCGACGCGCGAGAACGAGAGCTGCCGCGCACCAGCAGTCGTGGTGGTGAACAGAAAGGAATCGATGGGCATGTCGGACCATCCCTCGTAAGCATTAAGCCGAAGGACCACATCGACCATGTTGGGCCTGACGCCAGGATCTTCAGACATGCACTGCAGCGCGATATGGGCCAGCCCTGCAGCTCCCTCAAGGGAGAAATTGTCTTCCAGCTTCGGGTCTACGAATTCGCGGATCTTGCCCAGATCCAGCAACGGGCGCACCGACGCGTGCGTATTGACGAGCGTGCGCGTCGAGTTGGTGAAGAACATCGGGCGATTCCCAGTCAGAAGCTCCAGCACCAGGGCGCCGAAGGCGTAGATGTCAGAGTCTTCGGTGACTTGGCCTGTGTATGCGTATTCGGGCGCGAGGTAGCCGAGCGATGCTAGCGTCTTGTGAGTCGCATACATCACCTCTTCGGCGACAATGTCGGACAAGCCGTAGTCTGCAAGTAGCGCGTTGCCTTGCTTGTCGAGGAGGATGTTGCCGGCCCACAGGTTTTGGTGGACCATCGTTAGCGGCTCTGTTATGCCTTCATGCAAGTGGGCGAGACCTGCTCCATATATAGTCAGAAGGATGTTGAAGGGCATTCCTGGGAGATTTGAGATCTATCATGACCTAATTTTATGCTTAGAAGATGTTCAGGTGTGGGAAAAAAATCGATTCAAACCTTTTGCAATCCCCCGGATGATATTGACTCGCATGCTCCAGTTCAGCAACACTTCACTTGGTCCATGGAGGTTTTTCTCCAGGGACCCGCATGATACCAATTCGTAGACGAGGAAGCATTCTGATCCGCCTTTGGAGCAGCAGAACCCCAAAAAGTTGACCAGATTTTCATGCTTTACTTGCAGCAAGGCTTCGAGTGCATTCTGAAAGTCCTGCTCGCCAAATGAGTATCGTGTGTTGTAGATAGCCTTCACAGCCACTACGGTGCCGTCACGCAGCACTCCTTGGTACACAGCCGAGTGGCAGCTCTTCCGCAAAAGGTTCTTCTCGGAGAAATAGTTGGTAGCTGTTTCAAGCTCGTCCAAATGTATCCAAGAGTTCCATTCCGCGGGGCTTGAGAGCCCGTTAGACGCAACCGTCGATGTGCTTCGACCCGACATAACCCGGGACCTTCCCAGGGTCGAAAAGTCTGGTGTGCTACCATTGAATGAGCCCCGGAGATGGTGTGTGGTCTCGCTGATGTTCTCAGCTTTCTCCCCGCTGTTAGCGGATGTCTGCACAAGTTTCACATCTGTGTTCGTAGCTGGCTTAATATCCAATGTATATCTCAGATTAGCGTTCCAGTGTTTCAAACAAATGTAAACGAGGATCAGAAATGCGCTTCCTCCGACTGCGAATACGATGGCAGTTGTAAGGCTAAGTATTCTCTTGAATTTTTGTGAGGGTTCCGGAGGTGGAGGCTTCGAAGAGGTGGGGCCTGAGGCCAGGCAAGGCGATATGTTTACGCTCGCGCCACAGAGACCACTATTGTTGATGTAGTTGAAACCATGTGACAAACTAAACAGTCCTGTGATAAATTCATTTCAGATTAGAACATTCCAACGACCTCGGACTATATCCGTGTGAAGAAAGTTCGGCATGTGACCACAACTGTTACTGAGCAACACTCAGGTTGACACACATCGGAGGATATTCATTCATATAGAACTAAGATGGGAGAAGTTTCCAGCTCACCGGTTGGCACAGGACCAGAGAGGAAGTTGTTCGACACATCGAGAAATACGAGATTTGTCAAATTCGCTATTGAGTCTGGAATTCTGCCAATCAATGTGTTGTTACTGAGGTCGAATCGTTGCAGCATGGTCAAATCGCCAACTGTGGTAGGAGTGGTCCCATAAAGGCTGTTGGCGTTGATGGCCAAGGTTTTGAGGTTTGACAGAGTAGTAATCTCCACTGGAATTTCTCCTTCCAGCTTGTTGCAACACAGCTCCAGCGCTAAAAGCACACACACGTTCCGCCACACAAAATTAATGCTCGTATTCGGTTTTTAGAACCCAAGAGATTCTGGTGCTGATAAAATCCAATATTAAATTTATATATCTTAACTTACTCAGAGTTGAAAATGGTGATAAATTACGAGTTTTCAAAGAAAGATGGAAGTAATGACAATGACGAGAGTTTCGAGGTGGACGTTGTACCTTGTAACCGTGTCAACTGGCCAATTTGAGGAGGAATGGGGCCAGTCAATTGATTCCAGTTCAAATACAAATCTGTGAGGCTTTCTAACGTGAAAAGCGATCCAGGAATGCCGCCCTGTAGCTCATTAAAATGCAAGAAGAGGCCAGAGAGATACAAGAGTTCTGACACCTCATGTGGAATATACCCCGTCAACGACCGCCCTTGTAATGAAATGTTCGTCACTCTCCCAACTGACATCAAGAAAATAAACAATCTTCACACAGTTTTAGTGAATTGACCATGCGTTGTGCACTCTCGTGATCACAACCCATTCAGAAACAACAGAATCTTACAATTACAATCAAATTGATAAGGTCGTCATCGATCAGCTTGTCACCTGAGTTGCAGAAAATGCCCTCAAAACTGCCAGAGCAAGGCTGCCCTCCTCTTTTCCAAGACTCCAAAACCAATCCATCAGGATCAAGGGCAGCCTTCACATCCATCAACACTTCGACCTCCAACCTTTCAGACACCCACGCCGCAGCAGGCCATGTGAACAGCAGCACAAGCAAGGGTACCAGGTGCATCAGCTCTGAGGAAGCGGAGAGCGTATTGCATCGGGCCATAGCTTAGCGCCACTCTGCGATGGCTACAAATGAGTCCACGACATGAGAAGACTCTCATTCATGGTCTCGTCCCTGCTACTCCTTGTTGCTCTGAATGACCAATGTTTGCCCCCAGCTATGTAAATGGGCATAGAGAACTAGATCATCGCATTCTGAACTGCTCTGAAACCACCCAAACCAATATCTACCTTGTTTCAAGCACACCTGGAACATGAGGTTGTCGTCATAGTATCCATCATACATGCCAAGGATTTTTTTTTTTTCATCATTCGTCCGAGGTTTCGATGGAGCTGCACAGTAGACCGGGTGAGATGAACAAGAAACTAGACAACTGCGCATCAAACTCGTTTAGTAACAATATACTGCGAATGACACTGCGAGTCTGTTGGTTCCTGGTCGAACCAACACTTTTCACAATTCTTGCGTCCTTACACTCCTAACACGGCATGGATGTCGTGCGAGCTGTTTCGATTCCCAAACCAATCCTGGCGTCTTCATTCCAATTAAAGACATAAATTGAACTTACTTATCCCAGTCATAGACAATAATGCCCTTACCACTCGAACGATTGCCCCGCTTCTGCTGCTGGAAGTCCCCTCGCGGATTAATTCAGTGCGGACGATTGATTCTATCAACGGCAACAAACTTGATGACTCGTACTTCGTATCACGGCAACAATTATTTTTTAATTCACCGCAAAGAAGAACCTTCACTTTTGAAGAACCTTTCGCAAGGAGGGCATACTGGAGGAATTGATACAACGAGGATATAGCAAGTGGTGGATCACATCCCAGAAATCAATTGCCAACTGTGATATCACTGGTAAAGAGTTCAGAAGTACTAATCATGACAGTTGTGATCGAGTGAGCACTTGATACCTTTAGAACTCTCAATACTGACCCTGTACCAGGATGATCTCATTCAATCCTCCGGAACATACTCCCCCCCAAAATGGAAGACGCGTTGAGTCTGTGTGCAATTATGGTGATACTCTTTTGAATCTATTACACACCTCCATTAACAACTGCTAATTTTGTGTAGCGGGCAGTGTACCTGAGGGGTTCAGCCGTGTTCCAGGAACCTCCAAACGAAGAGCCACGACCAGCTTGTAGTCAGCTCAGCTGCTGGTATCAGTCGCACCAGTGCTCATCACGTCGAAACCCAGCCACGGAAATATGCTACTCCCAATCGCTAATCTTGTAAAGCATCTAAGATTATCAGGTTAGCAAGTCAGAGATCTATGTATTTAATTTTTATCTGTTATGATTTGAGTTCTATCTGTCGACCTACTGTAACGAGCTACCGATGTACATCCACATAAACAGGGTTGTACATATCTGTAACCAGACAAGCTCAAAACCTGTGCAATCAGATGAGTCAATCGGTTTCTCTAACTATCCGAGCAGGAATGACCCCTTGAGTAACCTTTGAGTTAGGATACTGATCCAATGACGAGTAAAGTGAGTCTCAGCGATGCTCTTCGGAGAGAGCCCCAGGTAGGGTATTGAAAGACACTTCGATTGTTACGACAAGAGTACGATCCGGCAAAAGCAGCAATATGAAGGACATTGGCAGAGACTATATCAACAAACTCAGACGTGCACAAATCTCAAATTTGATCGATGGTTAGAGGAGTCGAAGCGTCACAGATGCCAATTACCATAAACCGAGTCGTGTCAACGATTTCGGTTGTTTCACTTTCGTTGACGTTGTCGCATGAAACTTGCAAAACTTCGGATTGCTCCCACTTGTTTAGCCTACAATAGCTGTATGGTGAGGTTTAAAGCGTTACACGCTCGTATCCTAGCTGAGCAGGATACAAATAATAATGAAGCTCCCAGAAACGTGTTTTCATCTGTAGCTATGTACAAAGTAATCGTCTATATCACGCACACTATCAATGAATAGTGAAGTCAATTGCCTGAGACCAGCGGTTGAGAACACTAAAATGAGAGGAGACAGGTCAAAAAATCGACATGGGATTAGACCTTATGGAACTGATGATGCAAGGCTGGTGTTACGATTACGACTGTGGGTCCTCGGAACCTTTGTGCAAATGATCGCAACTCTCTTTTACCGAATACACAGCGGGCATATTTCTCCCCATGAACTGGCTTTGTCTAATAATTTTCTTTTTCTAGTATGCTCTCCCCGGGTGGTTCCTCATTCCACCACTGGACCCCAACTCTGTGTAGATACTCAGTTCTACTATACTACTAACATAATGAACAGTAATGTTCGTAGCTACCGCCATGGCTACAGCTCTAAGTAATTGTATTCTGAGTTACTGTAACTGATGGGAGTACTTGTCTCGTTAATGAGGTCCAGTTGTGTCAAGCGGTATGCAACTTTAAGGCTCACGCTTGAGAGACGCCCCTCAATAGGACGAAGAAATGATCGATCCAAGTCAAATCCATGTGGTCACACAAGCAACACATAAATACGAAACATGCAAGGGGGTAGGGCCTCGGTGGGTGCAGGAACGAAATCCAGTACACCTCTCAACTTTCATCAAAAGTGTCTGTGTCATGCAATTCTTTCCTCATCGGCAAGGCTCTGTAGCTAGCTCATCACTTTAAAAATCCCATCTGTAGGTGGGGAAAAATGCATGTAATCGCGGCTTTAATCTGATTCTGCAAATGTCAACTGAAAACCAACGTCTGAAATCGTGTGAGCGATCAGATTAGCAACTTTCTGTTTGTAGGCTCTCCGACCAGGAGGTTGTTTGGATGTTGTGGCAAAACCAAACATTGTTTAATTGGATGTGAAGTGCAAGTGGCACGATCTCAAAGTCTTTGCTTCATCTTCCTCCTGGTTTATCAAATATAGTTCCTTTGAGTAGGAACTCTGGCCGTGAGATAATAGGATAATTATTCTCCCCACAGAATTCCTTACAGTAGGTAGACACCTACCTGCATTGAAGTGGCTAATGTTTCTTGCGAAGTTAGAAAATTTCGGTGTACAAGATTCAGTTCAGACTCAAGGAAAATTATTTGTAAGAGAAGGCACAACAAAGCACCAATCTTCGATAAAACGCCCCAGGGTCATGGTCTTTTAGCCAGATTCCAGCTGGATTGATGAGATGCATAGGATATATAGAGCACACGGCATTGGATCATTGTTCACAGCCTATTTGCACAACCTAAGTCAGCTCCCTTGGCTCCCAGTTGAGTCATATAAAATTGTAGGATAGTTTCCAGTTCGTATTTAAGATCTGATTCCAACAAGTGGCAGAAGGATTCCTTTTCAAACATATTTTATTTAGAACTAAATACTGAACTGATCCTCATATACCAGACGTCAAGTCGTACAGAAACTTATTACTCTTTTTTGTATTGGGTGTTCTGAAAAACATGCGTTTCCATAGTCAACGCATTATTTACTGTTCCCAGCGGCATCAAACACTGTCAGCTCTCGCATGACTGTACATGCCAAAGATTTTTACTGCGAGACAGCAATTCAGTGTGTGAAGAATGTAAAAGCCCACAACAAGATTTTATCCGGTGCTCTATCAATTAAAAAAAGGCCATGTTTATCTTTTTCTTCGTCCTTTTCAGTAAAGATTCTAGCCATGTTGTTAAGAATAATCTTGGTTGTATCTTGGTTTAGCAATGCTAATTATATTACAACTAGAAGTTTGCATAAACTATATTTTATTTCTAAGTATTTAAATAAATTTAATATTTACCATGTTAATTAATTATAGCATTTAAATTGTATAAAAATTATTCATACATTAAATTGCAACCTTAAAAATAAAAATATAAGAGTGATGCTAATTAATACTAATAGTTTTCTAAGTGATTGGCAATAGGGTTATCATTGGGAGTCTATTGGGCCTTTACATCAAGTTCCAACAAATCCTCTTAGCTAACTTTCTTTAGGTGAAGATAACAAAGTTAGCCAATTCTTTTTTATATAAATACATCACTAAAAAATTTGTCTATTTGTACCTCCTTTTGTATACTTATTGTTAGAGACATAGTCCTTAGAACCTTCTAGAGACAAGTTTCTAGAACCTTCTACAAGCAAGTCTCTAGAATCTTCTAGAAGCTTCTTAGTTGGTAGAAGATGTTAGGGACATAGTCCTTAGAACCTTCTAGAGATAAGTTTCTAGAACCTTCTAGAAGCAAGTCTCTGGAACCTTCTAGAAGCTTTCTAATTGGTAGAAGTTGCTTGAGAAGCTTCCTAAATAGGAGTATATATTGGAATCGAGGCTGAAGAGTTCTTCAGTCTCAACAACACATCTCTTGGAGCTCTAGCTCACCTCTCTGGTATTGTTCTTGTATTCATCTGATTAATCTAGTTCTTGCCAGTTCTTCTTGAACTTCTTGTTAAATCTCAAGTCTGTATTTCTGTCTTTGTGACAGTTTGTCGAGACTTCACTCACCTCAGATATCAGAGCTAGTTTCTTCCTCGTTAGAGTGTGGATTACCCCTCTGCTTGGAAGTGTACTAACATTTTAGAGGTTGCGGATTATCCTCCTCTAGACTGATACTTCTTTTGTTACAATATTGGAGTCTTATTCTTCTTGGAGAGAGTGGGTTACCCCTTTTCTTGAAGCTCTTAAGGCATTTTAGAGGATGCGGAGTACCCTCCTCTAAACCAATATTGTCTTCTTGTAGAGTCATTTCTGTCCTTCTCTTAGAATGGCTGGAGGCCAAGACATTAGTATGACGAAAAGTTTGGAGTTCAAGTTGGATGCTATCATAAATGTCCTTGCTACGTTATCGCAAAGAACTACAGAGATTGAAAGAGTCGTGGCAAGGCTTCATAATGATGGAGCATCTGGGATGGCATAATCTAGATTGCACCAGCCTCAAACTTCTGCACTTGGAGAAGCAACTTTGCCTCAGGTTCAATAAGCACCACTAGTTCTACAACATAAGGAGCCCCGAGTTAGCCTTCCAGACAAGTTTGATAGTACGTATTCCAAGTTTCGAAGATTCGTCAACCAAATCAGGTTGATAACAGCTTTACAGCCCGAACGCTATCCAATAGAGGAGTCACGTGTTGGGCTTGTTGGAACCTTACTTACAGGGTAAGCTCTATCATGGTTTGCTCCTTTATTTGAGAAACGATCATCCATACTAAACAACTTTGAAACCTTTTTGGAGGCATTTGCGGAAGCATTTGGTGAACACGACAAGGTTCGATGGGCTACAACAAAGATCCGGTCACTACGACAAGGAATGCGCTCTACATCAATCTATGCATCGAACTTCAAGTAATTAGCATGTGACATCAATTGGGATAAAAAAGCGTTGATGAGTCAATTCTATTGGAGTTTAAGGGACGATGTGAAGGATTTGCTATTAACTCAACCTGATCCGCAAACGCTCAGAAAAACTATTAGTCAAGCTGTGAAGTGCAATAATCGTCTATTTCAACGCCGCCAAGACCAACATTCAAGATAACATACGGTTTTCCATGTCCCAACTATGTTGGCAAGCAGCGTGAATTCACATTCAGAGATAGAAGACATGCAAATTGATGCGGTACGTGTCAAATCCCTTACTCTAGAAGAAAAAAAGCGGCGTATGGAAGAAGGTCTATGCTTGTATTGCGGTGAAAAAGGCCACAAAGTTGGAAACTATCCCAAGAAGCAAAATCGACCTATTATCAGGACTAGGGACGCATTTGTTCAAGAAAACAAGGATGCCCAGCCACAATAGGAACCATGCAGCTGGACAGTGAAATATCGCAACAACAACCAGGTTCCTTTCTTTTCGCTCAACCTACCCTTTGCTTTACAATCTCTTTGCTTATTAGCCCTGAGAAATTGAGAACCTTAGCATTATTAGATTCAGGAGCATCTGCTTGTTTCTTAGATAAAGAATTTGCGAAGTGTCATAAGATCCCTTTAGTACAAAAATCTAAACCTGTTCACGTTGAGGTCATAGATGGGCGACCTTTATTGTCTGATAGTGTCACCAATGAATCAGAACTTATAGAAGTGACGTTTAAGGGCCATAGTAGTCATATTATTTTCAATATTATTAGAACCCCATCAAATCCTGTTATTTTTGGTCTTTCTTGGTTGAAAAAGCATAATCCATCCGTAGATTGGAGGTTGCGGAAGATGACCTTTTCCACAAAACCACCCAAGAGCAAGCCTAGTAGAAAACCCCGAATAGAAAAATCCTTATTCATTGGAGCAAGAGCGTTTATAAGATCGTCCAAGGAAGGCACATCGTTTGTCATTTATGCGGCTCCAACTACCGAGGAGAAGATCTGGACAGCAAGTATACCTGAGCAATATAAGGATTTTAAAGACGTGTTTCAAAAGAAGAATATCGACATGCTACCGGAACACCGACCATATGATTGCGCCATAGACTTGAAGGAAGGAGTACAACCACCTTTTGACCCAATCTACAATCTATCGCAGATGGAGTTGGCAGAGTTGCGGAAGTACATCGACGAGAATCTAGCCAAGAACTTCATCCGTCATTCAAAATCGTCAACTGGAGCACCCATCTTATTTGTGAAGAAAAAAGATGGCTCGTTGCGGATATGCGTGGACTATCGAGGCCTCAACAAGGTAACAAAGAAAAATCGTTACCCGTTACCTTTGATTTTTGGTCTCTTAGAACAACTTAGACGTGCAAGGATCTTTACAAAAATTGATCTAAGGTGAGCTTACAACCTTGTACGAATCAAGGAAGGAGATGAGTGGAAGACAACATTCCGTACAAGGTATGGCTATTTTGAGTATAATGTCATGTCCTTTGGTCTTACCAATGCTCCAGCGATCTTTCAACATATGATGAATGATATTTTCTGAGAGCACCTTGACGATTTTGTTGACATCTATTTGGATGATATTTTGATATTCTCCATAAACGAGAAAGAGCAAGAAAAGTATATTCGTTTGGTCTTGAAGAAACTATGCGAGCGAGGACTATATGCCAAGTTCGAGAAGTGTTTATTTTATCAAATAGAGATGGAGTTTTTGGGGTTCATTCTGACTACTGAAGGCTTGAAGATGGACCTTAAGAAGGTGGAAGCAATCGTGTCCTAGGAGGTTCCGAAGATGGTTAGAGACATATAATGCT